GCAAATTGCTCAGTAGCAACATTTATGTCTTCCAATACCTGATTGATTAAAGCACGGCATTTTTCTAACTGTGGACAGCAATGGCTGTGTTCAGATCCCATGGTACTGTGGTTCAGTGTGTTCAGCTGTGTTCTCTTAAACATGGCAGTAATGCTATGGTCTCTCTGCCACATGCTCCATTCCCTTCCGATCATCTTACACATGGATTATATAGGTCTGTATTCTGTGTTTTTAGTGATAGATACTTCTTCTACCCACTTATATTCAGTTATTATATAAATGTGTATCAATTTGTCAGTGTAAACAGTAGAAAACTGTTTATTTCCAAATATAAAATATCAGCATATCTTATGTGCTTTCAATCACTTCCTCAAGATTCCAAAGCGTTTTATATTTATCTTCTTTTGCAAAACTGAGTTTTCTGGAGTGCAGGCAGGATGGCAGAATTGCAGATGGGCAACATGTTTGTGTCACTGTCAGCTCCACCAGGGGCTTGTGAAACAGCCTTTACACCTTCTTTACATCTTCATTACTGACACCAGGTAATTGCAATCACAATGGGTTGGCCATCTTTCACCTGTGTGTGTTTCCCCTCCTTTAGAACTATGACTGTATCATAAAGGTCATGACTCTCTTATCAATGACAAGGTCATTTGTTCAGCAGTGCAGCTGGGAAAAAAGTCCCTGTGTGACCATAAATTGAGTTACACAGATGAAGGGCAGACCATCAAGTACAATAAAACTGATGTAGCTGTCCCAACCTTAATGGAGCCATTGCCAGTTTACATCAGCCAACGATGTTCAGTGTAATAGGAGGGAGATGAAGTCTCTTGTCTTCTCCTGACAGCCCCACTCCAGAATACAGAATTCAGTTGGCACACATATAGAAAGAGACCTGGTCTGAGAAAGGCCTGAGACTACATCTGGACAGACGTGGAGTCAGTTGCCGTCATTGTGCCATCCTAATGTGAAGGCTCAGCAGAGCTCAGAAGGTAAAATGAAGAGAGACATTGCCTGTAAAGCAAGAGGGGAGAAAGAAATTCCGTGCTCTGTCAGCTCTGCATGATGTAGTCCTAGATTAATAGGCTTACTGAGTATATCCATGATGCAACAGCTCTGCTCTCAACTTCTTTGTCAACTATGTCAGAAGTTTCTAGTTTCTGTCTGTGACTAATGGGAAGCATGACATGCAATAATCCAATTGTATAGTTAGTGTAGGCTGTTTGCTCAGATTACTTGACTTGTCCTTTACCAGACTTTGATTTGTGCGGACATAATATGAAAAGGGCAAGCACAGTCCTTTGTTTGAGCTTTGAAAGAAAATGGAGGTATGGACAATTTACAGCTTGTGCTTTGTTGCTGTAAAGAGGTTTTGTGACTTTGTTGGAATAAATATTTTCAAGCATGTGAAGCAAGATGAAAATGCACTGAATTAAGAGTGCCTTTTAAATTTGTGGCTATTGGGAAGAAGATACACATTGCTGTTTTAGTTGATTCACAGTAATTATTAAGATCATATTTTGTGGTTGAGGTGCACAAAAATATCTCGACTGTTGCAGCCTCTTATCTTGAGAGTACAAAGAGCAGTGTCTGTTCCGATCCAGCAAGCACAGCTCCAGCAGCTCAGGCAGTTCTCCAGGTAGGTAAGTAAACAAGGCATGAGTGAGCCCTATAGAGGACAGGGAACATAGCGCAACAGAGGGCTCTGTAAGATGCTTAGAGGGAAAATACATTAACAGTGCATCTGAAGGAAACATTTTTTCTGTCCTTAAAAGTGCTTTTTAGATTGCAACAGGCATTTAAAAAACATCTTGATAAGCTGGGGATTTTGGAATTGGCATCATTATTTGTGAATGAAAACGTTTTCTGGCCTGTTGGGTTTTTTTCCAATGATAACATGAACTCAAAAGAACATCTTGTCATACAGTAATGCTGATTTAGTTTGCAAATAGATCTACTTACCTGTGGATTTATTAATGTATGTGTTACAATCTGTACCTTCCTCCTCTTCCAGATTTTGAGACTTGCTCAGCAAGAGCAACCATTTACACAAGAGTATATTAGCTTTTGCCAAATTTAGAAAATTTTTGTTTGAAGTAGAAATGAGTTGCAATTTGTTGTTATAGTTACCAGAAGACTAGTAAGTAAAAAGACCTCACATGGGCTATTTTCTTTGTAGTTTATCATTTCACATTTTAGCCTGGATTTTTGTCTCTTATTCTACTAAGCAGGTGTTACAGTATCAGTATTTAACATTTTTATTTTGATCATAGAACATAATTTTAAAGCATTTTTGAAAGATCTGGATTTCAGAACCTGTAAGACTTTTCCATTCCTTAGACAAAATCTCCTGTTACAGCTGTGTTGCTGGGTATCCGTCGAAGGGGTCCCGGTCCAAGGGGGGAAGAAGACACACAACACACATGAGGATGGTGAGACAAAGGGATGTCTGCCCGCTCAGCGCAGCAGGCAGCTTTTTTATTCAGTTCTCCCACCTCTACTTTCCCATACACAACACAAACATATTCTTACAACAACATCCAGGAATGCAGCACCTGCACTTAGCCACACAGCTCAAGGCTGTGTCCATGGGAACTATCTAATAGCTCCACTGCTCTCAAGGGAAATGGCCTCTGCAACACTCCAAATCCTTCAAACTTCATTTGTGGGGCTGTGACTTCACCCCACACAGCTGGTGCTCTTCCACATGGTTTTCTCTCATATGAGTAGTTTCATATCCCGATCTACCCTAAATTTAATCACTTTGAGAGGGGCGGGAGGGGGGATGCCTGTCCTGCTATCCTTACTGGAAACCTGACCCCGAGTCTCACTGTTCTGATAGGAATCTTTTGATTTCTGGGGTAAGTGTATCCCTGGCTAATTTCCACCCATTTGTTGTTGTGCCAACAGCATTCTTTAATACAGGTAGCTTTCTTCCTGAGTTCTTAAACCTTATTCTACACTTTGGAAACAATCCTATCTCCTCAGTGTTAATTTTATTAATGGTTTCTTTCCCAAAGATAGGCTTAGCATTCTAGCAAATTCTCTGTCTGCGCCCATTTGAGTTAGTCTACATTGTGCAGGAGTGAGCAAATTGTGCGCAGAGTGTGCATCTTAGCAAAGAGACGTAATACTTGTTTGTTACTTTTGGTAACACCTCATTTCATGCATTAGTTAGCACTTCTGGTTTTTTTCAAGTTTGCAGCACACTGGTGGTTCATAGCAAACATTCCAACTCTTCTTCCATTTCCAACTGTAGAGACCCAAAGAATGCCATTATTCTCTGGCAGAAAAATCTGATTATTTCATAAGTGCATGACCTCGTGCTTTGTGTGTTTGATCCTTTTCTTAGTTTTCTTGATCCTCATCTTTATTTTTGATGCTTCCGACTGTCACATCAGTAAATGTTCTTAAAACATTTCTAGTGGACCATGTCACTGTGCTATGGTCACTAGTGAAAATGTTTATTAAGATCAGCTTATAGGCAAACTACTATTCGCTGAAGTTGGTTACTTCTCTGTCTGGTTTCCACTGAGAATTTGAACCTTGGGAGTTCATTTCAGACCTCAACAGGAGTCAGGATCTCAATGCCATCATCCTGAGCCCTGTGCTAGTCCTGATCTACCAAGCAGATTCACCCCTTCAGCTGTTATTGACACTCACTGGGCCATACATTTTCCTGACCATACACATAAGAAAAATGCTCTAGTGAATGGAGTTCCCCCTGGTCTGTAGTAAACAGGTGTTGATATATTATATACTTCAACTATTAGGCAAAAATTGCAGATTATCTCGTTCTTATTTAATGCTCTGTTGCTGGTGCATTTGATTTTTTTTTGTCCCTACTGAATTCTGGAGTGGTTTGTTAATTTTAATATTTGCTACAAAAGAATGTGATTCTAGTGACCAAATGCTCCTGTAAAAACACAGTGTTATACTCTATCCCTTCTGTCATGAATACCAAACAAAGCCTCATGATAGCTTGAAATCAAATTATAGTAGTTGGAGCAAGACACTGGTCAAATTTTTTAACTACGAACTCTCCAGATCCGTCATTCTGCGTGGTGGGAGTTTGTCATCACTGTAGTGTTGGAGCAGCTTTGTGCATTCTGTAACACAGGTAGCACCTCTCAAGTGTGACCTACCCTTTCTCTCTGCAGAAAGGAGGTGCAAAATGCCTGTTGTCTTGATCTTGTGGGGATGAGCATGGTGTGGTTGCCTGCTTGTTTTAAATGTACGACCTTCTTGGTGACACTGTTAGAAGAGGCAAGTGACAGAAGCGTGCCTGGGAGGGGAAGGTGTTTGGGTTTGCCATGGTCCAGAGTTTCCATGTGAGGTCCCTCCATAAGTGAAGGGGCCACTGTGAAAAGTTTTTCTCTTGTGGGAAGTGTATAGCTATCCTGAGCCCAGATTTTCAGGTATCTTGAAGAAATTGCTTTGGGATCATGGATTTGATTCAAAGCTCCATGAGAGAGCAGCACAGACAGCAGGTGCTAGGTCACTGACATATTTTATTAAAGTCTAGTTGGAAGGAATTTTTTTTGTCGTTGTGTTTAAAAACATTGAATATACACTGCACAATTTTTGCCCTGTCACTAGCAGTCTTTCTAAAGTGCAGGCTACACTGATCAGCCAAAGGCGGGTTGGTCTGTCACCATGACGTTCTGCATTCCTCTGCCTACCACCAACAACTAGAAATGTTTTGTCTTGCTTAAGTCCATTTCAAGTAACAGTTCATGTCAATTTAGCAATGTTCAAACATAAGCTTGCTAATGGTAGTGGCCTGAATTTAGGGAAGGATGGATGAATGAGCAGAGTCTCTGCAGTAATCTTTGTCTGATTAGCAATGTGATTTATGTGTACCATGGTCTTTATTACCCTGATGCATGCACAACAAATGCACAAGAATGACATGTACAGCTGCAGAAAGTAATCCAAGCTATTGTTAGTTATTAATTTAATGTAATCCTCTAATCAAAGATGATACAGTAATGCACAAAAGGACACATGTAAATTTATTTTTGGTATTTTCTGCCATGAAGTTTTTTGTCACATAATCTAAGCAGGGGTTTAAGGTTTTAATGATGTATAGGAAAAGGATTTTAATTATTTAGAAGAAAACATTAGGAATTCTGATATTGTCATGTGTTTAGACACAGTCTCCAATGAAACTGTGGGGACTTGCTACTTCACGTAACTGTACCTTGTGCATCTGATTTCATGAAGAATTCAAGATCAAAGGTCTTGATCAGTCTTAATACTGACATAATTTGTTGATAATAAGAAAATTTGGACTTCTTATCCTTCTAATGAAATGGTGTTGCACACATTGCAAATCTCTGGTAATTTCATTTTCCTGTAATTCCTAAAGAGAATAGGCAAGTAACAGTGCACTGGGGCATTTTATCAGGAAATTGAGGGCCATCTTCACTAGTTCTTCTAGATAGCTTTTCTCCTTCCCTCTGTGTTGTTGTTTTTCAAAATTGCATTTCTTTGGTACCATCTCACTTCTGCAAAAGACAATTTTGTTAAATGTATTCCCAAATGCACTGATGAAGTTAGAACTGTTCGACAAAGGCTTGGAGACAAAGATGCTGCTGTGAAAAATGAGTCTTGTCAACAGAAAACTGATTTGTGATCACCGAATTTGGACAACGTGGTCAATGTTGTATTATCTGTTTGTCTCCCACTTTCATGTGTATCCACTATCCTAAGGGAGTTGTTATATGTCAGGAGCATCTATATGGACTCTGTCAACTCTTCTTTACTGTCAAATTATATCAGAACAGAGACATTTTCTATCTTTCAGCACTATGGCTTTTGCCCAGTGTAACTGGATATCCTGGGGCTTTGTGGCTGGCACGCTGGGATTTGGACATTTAGTTCTTTTTTTGTGCATCTGTACCTGCTTTGTCTTTCTTCTGTGCTTACAAAATGGGAGAAAAGCAGAAAAGCACGGTCTAGTCTTGAGAGGGATGTTATTAGGAGAAACGTGCTAAAAGACTGTAAGAAGCCAAGGATTTAGTAGATAAAATGTGAATTTGCTATAGACTGTTTCTAAAAGAAGTCGTATCTTCTTCCATACTAATAGCTGTGTGGCATTTTGGCACGTAAGTGAAAAGCTGTTGCTCTCTCTGCTAGGAGATCATATTATTTCCTTCTCTTTACTCGTAATGCGTTTACCCTGCCTGTGATTTATGTAGCCAGGAACAAGAACTGAAGCACTTACACAGGGGAGATGTGTAAGTGCTTGCATGGGTTCCTTGTATGTCAGAACTGTTAAAAGCTAATCTTTAGATCTATAACCCATAGGACAGTGTTTCTGAAGAGAACACCTTAAACTTGTTTGTATTTATTAATTTCACTGCTGTGTTATTTCTATCCTGTTTAACAGCTGATATCGTCCCATGTCTTTCAAGATCCCAGGGTTTTTATTGTAGCTGCAATTGTTCTTTTGTTGAGATCAGCAGAGCAGCTGGGCTTCAACAGCAAACAGAGACAGCAGGTCTATTTTAGTCAATGAGCTAATAGTTTATGCGAGTCTAGGAAATTCTGCTTTTTATTAAACTGCATCAGCTTGTTCATACTCTCGTGGACTTGTCATTAATATAATATCCAGTCTTCTTAAAATGTGCACTTCTTGTTTTGTCCTAATCCATCTGTTTGAAAAACAAAAAGTTAAATGGGCTATGAAGTATGTGTGTTGCTTTGATCACAGATTTGGAATTTCCTGCCTCATATAAAGGAGCAAAGATTAGCCTTAAAGATGTAACTTCAGTCTAACACCCAGATCTAACGTTTGCATTGCAAAAGGGGGAACAATCATGTCTTTGCAAGGTATTCTACGAGACCCCTTTTCCAAAGTAGAAAATCTGCACTTCAGATGCTCAGATAAATTGTCTGGGGTGTCCCTTCTTTTACAGGCAGCTGCTAAGACCTAGGAGGGATGCTGTCTATCCTTGTTGCCACTGACTGAAGCATAGGAGGTGACTTCTCAAGTATGTGCTATTTCTGTATAGTCTGAGTTTCATTGTATTAGTTGGGCTGAACATACTACAGGTCATTAGGAAGGGTATGTAATATAGGAAGGTTTAACAGAGGTGCACGCACAGAAATGTCCTGTCCCTCATATAGATGGTATCAGAAAAAATTTCACGTATTTGCTGATGTTCCTTTGCTGCTTGAATATCCAGCAAGAGAAACAGCACCTGAAGAGTAAGGCAAATACTACATGAAACAGGCTAGAAAGCTAGAAGACGAACTCTTCCAGTGAACCATGATGATTGGCTGCATTCTCACTAAAACCCTACCATCCAGGCCTTTTCCTTTCATGCTGTTAATGCACCATGCAAATAATCTGATGTCTGTGTAACCCGTATCTCTTTTGTCAGTAAGAATGTAGCCCTCTAACCTCTGAAAGTCACACCAACTTCCCTGGGCAATTACTTTGGCCATTTTGTGCTAGAAATGGTCATTTAGTACTGCACTAACTTAAAAAAAAAAAAGTTTTAAATTACCCTGAATGGAACTTTAAAAGGTAACAAGAAGGGACCAAAGGGAGAAGAACTAGACTTCAGCTCTCCATATTCTGCATATAACAGAGCCAGAATAACATAGTACCCCATTCTCTCTGTAACAGGAAAAATCCTTTAGACTGGCTCTCCCGTGCAACCACTGCAAAGGCAGTTTAAATACAGCAGAAACAGACTCACTGACAAAGTTGTGAGCAGGTTCTAATTTGCAACATCCTTGTTCAACTCAGGCAGCCAAAAGGTCCATGAGCAGAAGTCACTGCAAATGAGTCCAACCTCCTGGTGATCGTCACTTGTGTAGGTGTTAGTGCTGAACACTTTCTCACCTCCTGGAATGCAGGAGGGCTTTTGCTTTGCAAAGTTTTCAGTTGTTGCAGTTTATCTGAAATTCCCCTGGTCAAAGGTTCATGTGCTTTGTAAAGCTGAGCTTCCAGGCCAGCATGTAGAAGGTATGGAACTGGAACGTATGTGCTCCTGAGAGGTGCCTTTCTAATTCTTCCTGGTGGGAAGGTGGATGAAGAAATTAATAAACATGGATTCTATTATGCCTTTTTAAAAATAGTTTAAATTAAAGAAATACATGTTTAGGGAACAGTAATGGATCCACACACTGCTTAAAAACTGAAACAAACATGAACACTTGCAAAATGACATTAAAAACTTAATTTTAAAACATTTTAATAATTTCACACTAAGGCAAGGAAGTTCCAATTAGAAAACTATCCAGTGTCAGAGGGGCAGCACGGAATGCTGTTGGATATCTGAGCCCTCAGCTGACAAATGGTTTCTAATTTGGGGCCAAATTAAACTCTCATTTACGCTGGCATGTGTCCCCGGGAACTCTTTTCACTTCATCAGGGTACTTGAGTCTTGCCCCTATGTAGCTGAGACCATAAATGAGCCCTTTTGAAGCTTTTTGCTACTGAGAATTCTTTCAGAGCCTCATCATTATTTAAGTTCTTTCCTGAATAATGAACAGGCAGAGACAGCAGAGAGAAAAGACTGACAGGCTGTTATAAAACAATAAAATGACCTGATTCTGACTATATTATAGTTAGCACTCTTCAAGTTAGTCCTTATTGTTTACCTCCCACATTTAAATCCGCTAAACATTGGGAATCCAGAAACTCCAGATTATTAAGGTATTGAATGGACATGATTACAGCATATAGCATTGTGTTATTCCTGTGGAGGCTTTTCAGAATTGTCTTTCAATGACTTCTTTCCAAACCTAAGTAAAACAGATCTTTACAGCTGGACATTTGTGTGGCATACTAGATGCGTTCCATGTGAGTGTGACCTTCAAGCACTAGCTGTTATGGGCACATCTCTTGTGGTTAGCATGATAAATGATGTTACGCTGGCTAATTAAATCAATACATCTCATTAATGTCTTGCAGTTTCTGAATTTCTTGTCACTCTCTAGTCCCATGGAACACTTTCTGTATTTGCTCTTCTCAGATTGACATGCAATTTTTTCAGTCTTTCTCAGCAGAGGTACAGCAATTTCACCTGAAAGTAAGTTTGAGAAGTATATTTAGTATGTCCAATAAGAGAACAGTTGAAAGGTAACTGGTAGCACCTCCTGCTTCCCCATTAAATTTATTTTCACCCTTTCACAAATGGAGGACTCTGTGTCTTTTGGACTAAAGTTACAAGATAAACAATGGGAATAACTTTTTTTATTATTATTCAATGTGTTAGGAATTGTGTTAAGCAGGGAGAGAACAGCTGCTGAGAGATATTACATTAAGGAATGTAAAAAATCCTACAAGGATTTTCGCTCTCTTGCAGCACTGACAAGGATCTGAGTAAGGAATATGGCAAAGAATATTGTCCCCATGCCTATTGTGTGTCTGTCTCTATGCTTCCACATAATAGAAAGCCTTTTTCTGGTCCCTTCTTGACTTTTGCAATGTATTAAAGACCTAATAAAAGAGGTTTAAAACCATTCTACACAAAAAAACCCTGTTTTTCCACAAAAACAGTAGCCTAAATATCTCTCTGAATATGTTAATTGTCTCGGCTATTTTTCAGGGTTTTTTGTCCCCCAATAAATTGTGTTTTCAATACCACCTCAGAACAGAAACAAAAATATTGATGTTTTGGGGTTTTGTGTTCTCTATAAATTTTGTTTTTCTTTTCTCTTCCATCCTTATTTACAATTCTTTTTCAAAGGCCAACAAAAGGGAAGACAAGGGAAGAAATTTCTCCAGTTAAGCATTTCTCTGGAAGAGTTTGGAAGAAGCACATTTCTACAACAGCTAACCAAGAAAGAAGAAACAAAAAAGAGCAACTGCCAATGTTGTAGTCAAACCTAGCTTACCAACAGCTCGTGTCTGGATAGCTTGTTATGATTCAAGTGGATATATTTTAATAGGGGGAAAACCAAAGTTTGTTTGAATGCACTGAATACCAGTAATTCCCCAAGAGAGAGCTTCCTGGCTGTGGGCAAACACTAACCTTGACTTGGACTCTGTGACATAAATGCGTTTGATTGTCACACACTAATGCCCTTGGAGTTGCCCCCATCCCTGCAGCACGGTAGTGTGTAGGAACACAGCTTGGGTTCTCCCTGGGAATCCTGTCTTGCCTTTCTTGATTTGTAATGAGGCAACAGAAAGATTCTGGAGTGGAAACTGTGACAACAGCCCTCCCTGCACCCCTACAGCCACTAACTCCAGACCCCCTGAGCTGTGGTGCAAATGGGAAGGGAAAGGTAAGGAATAAGCAACCAAACCAGTAGATTCGTTAGGATGGAGTGCTGCCAGGGTGAAACACTGGCATGATTACACACACAGCATCTTACTCAAAGACTTGTCCAGGAAGCCTTTTGCAGGTTACTGAAATCTGCTTTTTGCTGAGCCTGGACCTCTTGTGCAGGACTTTTCTTGCCTTCTTTGCACTATATATAGTAGGTATGTTAGCAAAGGCCCTGAATATAAAAGAAGTCCTCAGGTTCTGTTGCTTCATCTACCACTAACCTGTCACATCGTGATTTGTCCTGCAAGAATTGGGGCTGCATTCTGAAATCCAGCTTGTTATCCAGAGGTGATTCAACACAGCTCTCGCCCATCCTTTTCCTGCAGTTAATAGAGCTGTCAGCTCCCCTGTCATTTCCTTGTCATCCTGTCCCGAAACATATAGAAAGCCTTAAAGAAAACCTTAAAGGTCATCCCAGGAGCTTGAAATAAAATTGACCCTTATTCAAAAGTACATGCAAAATAGCTTGGACTTTTCCCTTCAACTGCTATTTATATTTGCCTCTTGTTCCACAGAGAGTTAATGTGTATTGAAAATATGACATTTTCCAGGAAAGTATCTGTTACAGGTGCCAAAGGCTGTTCTGTTGTCAATGCTTTGTGATATTTTCATGGCATGTTGGGAAGAAAGCTTTTTTTCCCTGTCTCCTTCAGTTGCCTTAAGCCCAGCATTACCATCTCATTCAAGAGATGATAATGACTGTGTTCACTTGTTGCATTGGATGTTTGTGCCAAGGGTGTTTATGAATGTTCTAGCTGATTTTAAATACAAACTTCAGTGCCTGGAGACATCTTTGTATTAAAAGCAATTGACTCATCATAACAGGGAAGGAGAGGTTCAGCAGGTAAAGTGGCACTCAGTCAAGAAGGTGCTTCTTGGCTAGTAAAGTACAGGGGATGACAGCTGCTCTGACAAAGTGACATTTGCATCTCCATAGAAGTGAGACTTTCTTAATTTAACTGGAGAAGTGTCAAGATCATCTGCTGAGTAAGTTAGAAGGAAGTAAGTTTCAGATGGAAAGAAAGAAAATTTCAAGAGGAAAAATTAAATCTACTCAGAGCCCCTGGAAAGGACAGTAGTTGTAGACATTGGTGTGGAGGAGAGGTTTTTCTCTAACAAGTGCAGTCTGTGACACATGGTACACAGGGAAACAGTGTCCCTGACATGTCAGGAGAGTACCCACAGCAAATGAGTAGGATATGGAATAAAAAGAACCTTTCATAATTTTCCTTATAAGCAGGCTGAGCATAGGCTTCTTTGTTGTGCCTTAAACCCCTTTGTTACAGTGGAGTCTATTTTGGATGCTGTAAATAAATCCACTTGGATTTTGCTTTAACTCAGATGGACTTAAAGCACCTGGTTAAAAAGACATTTCATGCTGAAGGCTGGCACAGCCCCACTAGGCAACTGGGGATGTGGTCACCTAGAAGCGATGAGGGGAAGTCACTTCTTCCTGCAGTGAGGGATCGCTAAGGAGGCTCTTAGCAGGATGCTGGTGAGCATACCTGAATCTCAATGGTCCTGAAGGAATTTGTCACCCATGCACTTGAGCCATGCTGTGTTTTAATTCCTCTCTGAAAGAGTGAACTTCTGTGTTAGAGTGAGTTTGTCTTTCTCCATTTCTTTCTTTGCTCATGAGCAGCTCCTGGTTTGCTGGGGATACAAGTAGTTTACTAGCAATCATGTCAGAACATTTGCTAGCAATTTACTCTGGCTTTTAAGTCATAAAGCAGCAAAGGGAATTATTGCTGCCATTTCCTAAGCAAGGCAACAAAGGCATAGATGTAATAATGCCTGCCCCTAAGTATTTGCACAGTTTTTTTCACATTCCTCTTTTTGTTTTCCCAAGCAAAAAGCATCACTCCGTAGCAACCATTTTAAGGCTGAGGGCACACTGAAAACAAGCTTGACAAATGAAAGTGAGATGCTGCAGCATGTGGGACTAGCAGAGCAGCCTAGTGGAATTATCAAGCCCATGCTGTGCATGGCCCCACTAGGCTGCATCCCTGGAAGTCACAGGGATGGGAAAATTGCAAGCAGGCATCTAAGCTGGCAATCAGGAGCTGCTTATGAAACAGGCTTCTGTGTCTTAGCAACTCTGAACCCTTTCTCAGAGTTGAGTGCTGTGCTCTTTTTTTTTCTGGAAAAAAAAAAGTGGTGAACATTAGGCTTGCTTTTTAACAGGAGTGGAGACGTGAAAGTCCCAGTTTTAAATGCTGACTAGGTGGGTATGGCACTTACCTGGGCTGTAGGAGGCACAGATTCAGACCCTACTGTGGCAATGAACTTGCCATATACAATATGGAAAAAGTCCTGCCAGAAATGGACTGGTGAGGAAAACAGCTCAAACCCTATGGAAACAGAAGTTTTTACTGTAGTTTAAACATGTCTCAACATGTTTGTGTATTTTCTGCAGTGTCACTGTCTCCCTCTCCCAAACACCCCCTGTGAAGCTATTGTCTCCCATACAAGGTGTCCTGGGAAGGTGTCCCGAGGTGTCCCATTGGTCCTTTGTTTAACCCCTTCCTATTGGCTGTTGACCCCTTACCTGATGGTTTCTTTTGTGTGACCCTGAACTTGTGATTGGTCCCCTTTGACCTTCCTAAAAGCCTTATAAACCCCAACCCCACAATAAACTTCCTCTTTCGTCCGTCCCTCCCAGGTGGTCTGTGTGTGCTCCTTGCGGGGTCACCGGGCCACGTGCTGGGGTGGGGGGAAGGGCATTCACCTCGCAGGTAATGGGGCTGGAAGCATAAGGCCTGGAGGTCTCCCCCAGTATCCCCAATCCGCCGTAACCCTACCTTTGCCTCAAGAGATCTGACCATCAGTGTTTGATGAATATACTCATCACCAGGATGTGGGGTATCTAAGGCAAGACTCTTCCTAGATATGGGGCTGGCTCAGTGGTACCATCTAAAGACTCAGCAACAGGTGTGGCTCTGCTGTGCCAGCTGTGCAGTCCTACCCACTTCTCCGTGCCAGCTCTGATGGCTTTCTGACCTCACAACATATTGCTATGATTCACAAAGCAGAAGACATTCACCCTGGTTTTATTGGTTTAGTTTCTCCTGGAAGAGGATTAAAAACGGAAGACAAAGGTTCTGAAGAGCAGGACTTTGTTCCTTGAGTATCAATGACTGATTGACTTGACCCTGCCGTACCATTTTTGTATGATCTCACCTGTCAAAGCTGCTCACTCAGGATATCACTGTAAAATATTCCCTGAGCTTGATAAAGACTCTTTAGCCCATAGCTAATCTTCAAAAGATGAGACATGGACTTCCTTTTCTTGCCATGTATTTCTCGCTGTATTGTTTTTTCCATTTGAAATCATACTGAGCACATTTCAGTTGTATACCTGTCATATACAGTAAAACTGAGATTCTGCGGTCTAAAATAATTGGCTAGGGCTCTCAAGCAGAGAAATGTAGGATTGATTGTGTTTTGATTCACATCGTGTAATCTTCAGTTATTAAATAAACCAAGACAGCTGAGTGTTCCCTTCCAAACTTATAAACATGTATAATTTTGAGGGACTTTGGCAAATGTACTGGTTACCTGCCCTTAGTGTGGCTTCCTATGACACTTATGAGTACTGAGCTAGATAATGGATAGCTAGAAGTCTTCATATTCTCATCTGTCATTTTGTGCTCCTGTGGGTTCTACTTGCAACAAATGCTACTGAAAGGTATCAGCCCTTTGAGGAGATGCATAGGAAAATAATAAGGTGAAGTAGGCGTCTAATGTCTAGCCAAGAAGATATTAATACCAGTCCCCACTAAATAAAGTGTCAAACCTGTCAGTGTGACCGTCAGGCAAGGAAGTTAAAAGGTAACAAAGCAATCAGTGTAGCTGAGTTTCAAGTATATCTTCCAGTTCTTATCAAAAATGGTTGTCATCATTCTTGGGGATTCTTATAGCAAAAAGTAAAAAAGGCTATATAAATGCCAGATGTTTTTTCTCTGGAGATTTTTTAATGCCAGTGAAAACTTGCTGTTGCCCAGATCCATTAGTGCTGGTAGAGGCAGAGCATTTGACAACCATATTCTATCCATCCCCCCATGTACAGTTTAGAAACTTGAGTGATTCAGAACATTCATTGTCCGGTGTCCAGGGTCGTGGCTTATTAGATAGGCAATGACTAAAATAATTTCAGTGTCCATGACAGGCATCCATAGCAGGATGTTTGAATTCAGCCCTAAATCTTTTTGATAGTTTTGAAATTGTTACAGGGCATCAAATTTGTCAATTTTTTTGATTGGAAAAAGAAATTTGAAGTTTTATGCAAAAAAAAATATGGTACAACTATAAAGGAAAACTTTTTTGTTGTCTGGTTCCTGAGCCCAAAAATAGCAATATGCACAAGGATAATAAGTCTTACTGACTTACTTTACACTGAATATGGTGACTGAGCACACTGAGAGCTTGGTACTCTTGATTTCAGTTACCTTGTTTCTTATACTTGACTGAATCCTACAAAGCTTGCCCAAAATGACATGGTACCACTCAGATATTCCGCAGCTGACTGTTCTCCATCAAGGCATGGTCCTGTTTTGTTATTAAATCAATGCTTATTTTATTTCCTCATTGTTTGTTCTGTTTCTTTTAAGGTTCTGCAGTTGAAATAATAATACTTCATTAGTGCTGACATTAAGGGGAAATTGCCAGATTCAAAATGATCAGTTATTGAAGCAGTATAACTCTCTGCTTCAGGACATATGTCTTGGATATGAGCAGATAAGTTACTCTATAACAGCCAAATTTAGGATTTTGGAAACTTCCTTTTGAAGCAACACGTTCTCATAGCACATAAGAAAGTTTGTGTTCATTACCAAAAAAGAGTTCACCATCCAAAATAAACATTATCCAAGGTAACTTAAGGACTCCATGTATTTCTGCACTTGATTCACTACAACATATGTGCCTTATATATGTTATAAATCTCATATATGTTATATATGCATATATGCTATATACTTTATATATACTATCTTAGGATATATAAAACTACTCAAGATTTAGTAGGTTTCATTCATATTAGATAGTGAAACATCAGCTGATATTGCCTATATATTTAGGTTTAAAGTATATGTTAGAGATACAGATAGTCTGGAGCATAATATAGTCAAGTTCTATTTGGTTTTGGTAAGGTGACTCCAAATCATATTAGGAGCTGGGAAGGCAGCTTCTGAGGCAGTCACAGTAATGATAGCTTTATCAGCGCTCATTCACCATTTTCAAGAACAAAGGTTAACAAACAGGAGATAGAATATTTATTCTAATATAGGTCCCTGGGGTACTAAGTCATCTTTAATGAGAAATGAGGTAATTACCAGTTCTGTCACCTTTCGTCTCTCAAATACACTTGAAACTGTTTAATATGAGACCTGTGTTGTTCAGTGGAAAATAAAGACTTGGAAATTATTGTAAAGCATTTCAGTATTACTATGTTAAAGACAGTGAAGCCTGAATATCGAATTTTGTATTTCAAGGCAATTTGAATTTTTTTCTTAATGAGAATGGAAGGAGATGTCAGGACAAAGAAATACATCAGTTGTCCTGGTCTGTCATCACCCTAG